CACCCCCGCCCAGCAGGGCCCCCAGCAGACACAGGTCTAACCTCATATTTCTGCTGCTTCATCTTCTCCATCAGGTCGAACTTCTCCGACTCCAGCTGGTGGATCCAGTCGGACAGCTCCTGGGCCTTGTTCCTGGCGGAGCAGACAGGCGGTCAAGGCCTGGGCCTGGCCGCGCTCTGGGCTCAGAGAGGTTGAGGGAACTGTCCAAAGCCACACAGTGTGACTCTGAATTTGTTAATATTTGAGGCAGAAATATTCAATGTGAATTGAAGCAAAGGGTTTTAAAAGACCTCTGCCCACTCTCTTCCTACCCAGAATAAGGGGTTCATACTCCCCTAAGTGAGAAGGAGGTGGTGGCTAAGACCCGGGCTCCGCGGTCAGAAAGCCCTGGTTCAAGTCCCTGCTCTCCAATTCTCTGGGTGGTGGCTATGGCCAAGTGACTTCCCCTAGGATCCTGTTTCTCTCTCAAAAAAAATAAAAAATAAAAAATAAATGTAGAAATAAAACTGTGAAAGAGATGGCTGGTTGCCCGCCCATTTCTTCCTTACAAACAGAACTTTTTGTAACAAGCCCAGTTAAAAAGCCACTCTGCCAACCTCCCTCTCAGGTAGGGTGGTCGGTGGGCTGAAAGTAGGTGATTGGATGGGGCTTCTTCCAGGGAAGTTTTTGTGGCTCTTCCTTTGCAATTTCTTTGTGCTGCTTGGATGTGATGGCTGGAGCTCCAGCAGCCGTTTTGCACCAGGACGGTGATTTTGAGGATGGAAATATTGGGCTAAAAGCAGTGGAGCAGAAAAATAGGAGTCTGGGGCTCTAATGATTTTGTAGAGTTTCCATTTCAACACTGGACTACAGGTTTTTTCTATGTGAAAAGCTGAAGCTCTGTATTTTAGGCTGCTATAGTCAAATTTCAGTTACTGGGCACCAAATTTATCCTTAACTGAGAAAAGTCTACTGCAGTCCTAGCCGTTTTGGCTCAGTGCTTAAAGCATTGGCCCGAAAACCAAAGGGTCTGGGGTTGGATTCCGGCCAAGGGCACGTACCTCAGTTGCAGGCTGTATCCCCGGCCCTGGTTGGGGTGCGTGCAGAGGCAACCAATCGATGTGTTTCTCTCACATCAATGTTTCTCTCTCTCTCCCTTCTACTGTTCTGAAAAGCAATGGAAAGACTATCCTCAGGTGAGGGAAAAAAAAAAAAAGTCTGCATTGAGCTGTTGTAGGTGAGATAATGGATGGAAAATACTATTATTTCGCTGACCTTTACTCCCAGGTCTTGGCACCCACAAAGAGTGGGTCCTGTATCGCAGAGAAGGCTACAGCAACCCAGAGAGGGGGAGACACGTGCCCTAAGTCACACAGCACCAGGGCTTCTGCCCACCCAGGTCTGGGTGAGGGTCCCTTTATCTCCCCATCTCACACCCAGGCCCTCCCCGCCTACCGGAGCTGGTCCTCTCCCAGGTGGTCGATGTTCAGAGGCTTCTTACGCTCAGACAGGATGCGAAGCTTCATCTCCCGCCCCGTCTGGCGCTTACCCCGCTTTTGTTCTGCCTGAGGATTGGGAAGGGGACACCTTGAGCTGGGGTACAAATCTTCCAGATGGCTCCCCATGTGAGGACCCAGGGGTCTGGGATCCAGGCCACCATCTCTCCCAGGACCTCAGGCATCTAAGACCCCAGCCCCTCCTCCCTCGGACCCAGGAGTCCAGGGCACAGCCCCTTCTCCCTCAGACCCAGAGGTCCAGGCCCCCAGCCCCTCCTCCCTCAGACCCAGGGGTCCAGCCCCCAGCCCCTCCTCCCTCACAACCAGGAGTCCAGGCCCCCAGCCCCTCCTCCCTCAGGAACCAGAAGTCTCTGCTCTCAGTTGCCTCCCCCCGGGGAGCCAAGACCTCAGGCCCCAGCCAGCGGAGCTCACCTTGACCAGGTAGCCCCCGAAATGGGCCCCCATGTTGGACAGGACCTTCTTCTTCTTGGCATCATCCTCAGCTCGCTTCTTGGCCTCTTCTTCCTCCTTCCGCATTTTCTCCTCCTGTGGGGGAAAAGGGGTTAAACCCCAAGGCCTGCCCCCCACTGTGGGGAAAGGGGGCCCAGGTGGGGATGTGGGAGGGGTGCAGACCCCGTGGTGAGAGGCAGTCAGTGTGGGGACAGGCTAACATGCAGAGGGCCCTTTGTCCCCCAGGCCTGGCTGTGGGACCTGGTCTGGGGAGGAGTGGCGGGTGGGTGGTGATCCCTGCGCCCCTAATACCCCACCCTACTCCTGTTCCTTAAATGTGGACCAAGTGGGCCCTTCCTTGATGCCACCGCAGGTCACGTTTCCAAGGCCTGATGGACGCATTCTAACCACTCTCCCCCAACTACGGGCAGGTGAACAATTCTACTTTTCCTGGGACAGACGGGATTCAAGATTTTTAGGGCTCAGACGAGGAAAGGCCCAGGCAAACATGAGTTGGTCACCGCCATGTCCACAGAAAGATGGGCGAAGGGATGGGAAGAGAAAAGCGGTTTCTTGGTGATATTATTTGAGTCCCCTGATCCAGCTGTGCCTGAAGCAGGTTCACCCTAGGCTTTTGTTTTACACGAGCCAATAGAATCCTCTTTCTGCCAAATCCAGCTTGGGTTGGAGTTTCTGTCCCTTCCAACAGAAGGATCCTTGAGTGATACAGCACGAGGACCTCTTTGGGACCACAGAGAACATCAGGAATGGAAACTAGAGCGCCCCGCGCCAGGAGGAACATTCGGGCTCCCAGAGGAGGGAGACACCCACCGCCAGCTTGGCCTGCCGCTCCCGCTCCTTCTCGGTCCTGAAGCGCTGTTGCTGAGCTCTCTCCGCCCGGCGCCGCTCCTGGGGGACCGAGAAGAGTGAGGGGTGCAGGGATCACCCCCCACCCGCCACTCCTCCCCAGACCAGGTCAAGAGCAAAAAATGCACAAGTTGTGAGTGTGGCCAGACTTGGGTCCCTTTCCGAAAGGTCTGTACTGGACAGGAACTATGCTCCGTTATCCCCCGAGCCCCAAAGGATGGCATGGGGGCGAGGGAAGAACTTGGGGAGCCCCAGCCCCCTCCACTCACAATGCGGTCTTTCAGCGCAATGAGCTCCTCTTCCTCCTTCTTGCGCTGCTCAAAGTGCACGTCGATGAGCGTCTGCAGCTCCAGCAGGTCTTTCTCCATGCGCTTCCGGTGGATGTCCTGCGGGACGGGCGCGGGGGCGCGTCATCCCCACCCCACCCCGCGGCGCCCGGGACCTCGGGAGGGGCGCCCTGCCCGGCGGGATCCGTGGGGGTGACAGTTGACTAAATTTCCAGCAGGGGGCAGCAGAGCACCGTGTTCCGACGGGACCGTTCTGGGCTATTAGGACGTAATTCCCAAGGGAGGCAGAAAGCGCCCTTATTTTTATTTATTTTTATTTTTTATTTGCACGAAGGCACCCTGCGGGCTCGCAGCTGCTCCTGGGGGCGGGATGCCTGTTACTTACATCGAAGTCCACACGTTCCCCTTCCGGGATCTTTGGGGGGATCAATGGGGGCACCACCGGGCGGCTGAGCGGACAGAAGAGAAGGTCAGTCAGCAGCGTGAGGGCCCCGCGCCGCGGGCCCTGCCAGGGTGGCGGCCACGCGTCACACCCGGCGCCGCGCCCCTGCAATGTGCCTGGTCCCCGCACAGAGGGACCGTCAGGGGAACGCACACCTGGTTTCAAAGACTTAGTGCAAACAAAATAACCTCACGTTTTGTTAATTACGGGCTGAAATGATGGAATCTCAGACAGCACAGGTCGCACAAAATGTGACATTAAGGTTCGTCCTGGGTGCTCCCCTGACTTTGTGAAATGCAGCTGGTAAGAATTTGAAGGTACCCGCGCGTTATAGTGCATTGGGCGGGCTGCTGGGGGAGGGGGTCAGCCCTCCAGCCTTTTTGGTTCCTGAGAGCGCGAGCGCCTAACTTGCTCCCTGCTTCTCTGGCTGTCCCATCTCTGTCTCTTTGTCCCCAGTGAGCCCTTTTATTCATTCATAGGACACTCTCACGCCCGGTCGGCCCTCGACCTCGATGACCGTCGGTTACGGAGGATTCGCCAACTCCGTCTGCAGCCCAGGCTCTCTCCTAAGCCCCAGCCAGCTTCTCCAGCGTCTCGTTTCCTCACTCAGACACGGGCCGCATGTCATGGTTCCCGGCCTGATCCTGTGCCCCAGGGCCTTTGCACGGGCCGTTCCCTCTGATGGCGTTGCCCTTGTCCCAATACACTTCATGCCTGGGGCCTTTCCTCCTCCACCAAGCTTTCCCTGACCATGCGGCACATCTGTGCTCCCTCGCCCGGATCTGACCCTAGGTCTCTCTGCTCGAAACTGTTCCATGGCTCCCGAGTGCCCTGGCCTTCACCATCCTGCCCACACAGGCCCAGACAGTTTCTGCTTCTAGGTTTTTTCTCATGTTCAGATTGCTGCCTCCTCGCATCTCCCAGCTTTGGCCCCAATGTCAGCTCCTCCAGGGTCCACCCCCCATGGGCTCCCGCAGCCGCCTCCTGGTCAGACTGGCCCGTGTCTCCATCTGCTCCCTGGAAGACTGGCTTAGATCAGCCATTGGACCTTGCACACACCGCCCCACCTTCTCATCTACAATCTCCCCTCTATCTCCTTCAGCCAGACGGGCGTCACCTCCCCTGGGAAGCCTTCCTTGATTGCCTAGGACAAATGTTGAGCCCTGATCTGTGCTACTCCAGTCCCCTTGCTGGTTCCATCACTGTGTCTGGGTCTGTTTCACCAACAGGGCTGACAAACACTGTGGGAAGTTCTCCGGGAACGTNCTAGGACAAATGTTGAGCCCTGATCTGTGCTACTCCAGTCCCCTTGCTGGTTCCATCACTGTGTCTGGGTCTGTTTCACCAACAGGGCTGACAAATGCTGTGGGAAGTTCTCCGGGGAACAGTTGCTAAAGAAGGGACCTCTGACTGTCCATTCCTCTGTTTCAATGCCCCCCCCTTTCTCTGCCACCCCGGTACCCTGTCTCTGCTGTCTCTGGAGGTGGGTGGCATGCTTAGGAGGATGTGATTTGGATCCCCCCGTAGGGGCTCACCTTGGTCTGGGGCGCTCTTCTTCTGGTGGGAAGGTACAAAGAGATAATTAGCCAGAGTTCACGAGAAGCCCCCCAAACCTTGGTCCCCAGGAGCCCAGTTCCCTCCTCCAACTGCTCTGGGGGATGGGGGAGGGCGTGGGGAAGAAAGGGAGGGGAGGGAAATCAGGGTGGCAGGAAGGGAGGAAGATGGTCACACGCATCAGATATACATTCAGAACTGGAGTGGGGGTCCCTCCAAACCCCAGGCCCTCCCCCTTCGACATACCCAGAGCTCCCGCCCTCCTCCATCAAGACCTAGCAGTGCAGTTCCACCCCC